ACATCGAAACTCATCGACGAGACTCTAAGTTATGGACGAGCCAATCAGGGGCGTTTTAGAGATTTCAAGGTTACGGCGCCAAATTCAGTGCTTAATGCTAACGTATGTTCGGTTTACAGGGAATTTTGTACAAAATGTGATAATTGAGCGGCTATAACAAATAAAACGGCGGGATTATAATTTGTGGACGAAACAATCAGGTATAAAATAATAGATCTCGGATTTTAACGCGAAAGACTTTCATTCATTTAGCTAAGTAAATCTATGGCAATATAGCTGGTGTCAGTTCGTGATGAAAAACACATATGCAATTCGTAATTAAGGCAAATTACGATAAGTATTGCGAACTGGATAATAAAAGCAGCAGTAACATTGGCTGCAGCCAGGTACTCCAATAATTACGGATGTTTGGAGAGCGTACAGAATCCTACATAGACATTTTGTGGACCCAACAACCAAAGTGCACACAAACAATATTGAAGCTATGTGGTCGAGGCTGAAAGAGTATTTGAGACTTTATCCTGACTCCAGAGGCCGACTATTCTGTAGCCGTATGTATGATTTCCTCTACTGCACGCATTACGATTTTAGAACCTCTGAACCTCTTTCTAACCTTGACAAGTTTTTGAACCACGTATAAGAAGTGTATACACTTTATTCCCTTGGTTTTGTATAATATATTTTTACTCTATACTGACTGTTTGCTGGTTGGCTAGTGTCTCTCAAGGTCATTTAAAATTCCTTCAAAGGTCGTCCGTAAATTAGAGTCTTGCTGAATTCATCATTTAAGGATCTTTCTTCAATGATGACCAAATTTGTTTCACTCAGTCCATAGTCTATGATCACTTATATTTCAATTGCTTATTAGATATTGTTTGCTGTTTGATAGTAGGAAAGACTTATATTCTAACAGTTGAATTTACGAGTTGATTTGAACTAGACCACCACTAAAAACCTGGAAGGACTGGATAGCCGTTTTGTCGTAGTATGGGACTCTCCAATTGGGTGCATCAACGATCTTGCATGTGAGACTCCAACCCAGGATATTCGATCTCACTTACGAACAATTAACCACTAGAATACTGACCTGGCATTGAATGGTGTTTATGCCTAACTCCAATCGGTCCATGATCTTGCGTAACCCTTCATCCATTGTCCAAGGTGAACCACTGTCTCTACCCGATACGGATTAGACTCCACTGATCACAACTTCTCGCTAGAACTCCAAGAAATTGATCTTAAAGCTAGTTAATAGTGAGCACATGATTATTACCAGAATGAGGATTTATGAAGGGTTAGGAGTAGCGGTCAGGGGTAAGGTTTAGGATTAGGGTTAGGGGTTAAAGTTAGGGTTTAGAGTGAGAGTGAGGATTGGGGTTTAGGGTTAAATTTAGGGATTAAGGTTTAGCTTAGCCTAACTCATCAATTCAACTATTACAATACTACAATCTCTACAAATTTCTATACAAACTTATATTCATTTAATTCACTTTGAAATAAATAAGACATCATTCTAGTTGACACATTTTGATTGACAATATAATTTGATTGAAGTAATTAAAATAATCGGAATGATTAATTCTCATACTATTTGAAATGAATATATGTTACTAATTCAAGATTTATTGATCAATAGTGAAACAATGGAACCATATCTATATATCTTAGTTACTATAATGAATAATAGACAGTTTATAGTAACCTATTAATGTTGACAGTTTCCTGTCATAGACAAATAAATTGTTATGTAATCATTTGAATGAAATTTCTTCCAGTCAATCAACAATCAATCAAGTAATCTATCTATCTATCTATCTATATACTTAAAGATACCTATATTAGTCAATCAGTTTGAATGACATTTCAACAATATAAGTATTGTACATGTGAATTGAAGTACATTAAACAATATAATACACATTCTAATGAACGAAATAAATATTCCAACATATGTCATAATGCTTCTTTACTTACTTACTTACTTACACGTGTTACTCCTCGTGGAGGAGCATAGGCCAGGTACTGGCACTCTCCATCCAACCCTAACCTAGGCAATATTTTCCATTTCTTTCCAGTTATTATTTATCCTTTTTATGTTTACTTTCGATTCCCGATGTTCTTTGGCCTTCCTCTTTTCCGCTTCCCTTCAGGATTCCAAGCTAGGGCTTGTCTCGTGATGAAGTTTGATTATTTTTGTAATGTACGTCCTATTCACTTACAACGACTTTTCCTAATTTCCTCCTCATTTGGAAGTTGGTTTGTTCTCTCCCACAGAAGGCTGTTGCTGATAATATCCGGCCAATGGATGTTGAGTATCTTGCATAAATAAGATGGTTGTGATAATTATCCACGTTTCAGCTCCCTACAATATAACTAACTGTCTTGACATTCTCATTGAAGATCGTGACAGTTGTTTTGAGTTTCATATGTTCTTCAATTATAAGAATGAAGCCCTTGCCTTGTCCATTCCCGCATTTACGTCTGCATGCGATCCTCTTTCTTCATCCATGAGGCTATCCAGAAACGTGAAACTTTCCACCCCTTCCATAGTTTTTCCATCAAGAGTGATTGAGTTGGTGTTCTCGGTGTTGTATTTGAGAATCTTGGTTTTCCCCTTGTGTATGTTGGGGCCTACCGATGCAGAGGCTGCTGTTACACTAGTTGTCTTCATCTGCATTTGGTCATGTGTATGTGATAGAAGGGCTAGGTCATCTGCGAATTCCGAATCGTCTCATTGGTTATGAGCTGTCCATCGCATTCTGTGTTTTTCTTCAGATATCTAGGTCTTCATATACCTTTGGTACACTATAATTAATCATTGATCAGATAGCAACTATAATGTTGATTGTAAGCAAAGATGAATTGTGACTAACAATCGAATCCGGGATGAATATTTTGTTCTAATTGAGACTCGCCAATTAGATGTACTTACATTTTAGAGTTGATGTTCATTCATATTACTGTTTAGCTTTTCTTAAAACGTTTTTGCAGTTAACTAATATTTTTTAATTGTAAGAGTATTGTATTTTGTTGTAAGTAATTTTGAAGACTGGTATAGTTCATAAATTTGTACTGATGTAGATATATGGACTCTCCGTGTCCACCAACCCGGTTAAAGCGCCGAACATTCGCTTTTCGTCCTCTCACTCTGGTAAACAAAACCCTCACCTTAAGAAGGCAGTGAGTAGGACTTCACTGGTAGTGGGTGTATTCACGTGGCCATGTGAGAGCATTTAAAGATGGGGAGTTGACTCTCCCCTCTCTCGGCCATACCAGTGAATTTGGGGGCATAGTGCCCCAGGTGAGAGGTTGCTCTGTTGATGCAAACTACTGACTTTCAACTAGTCAATAAATAGAGATCTTTTTTGGTATTTTCAAGAAAAAACGATAACATTCTTTCTCTGATTTAGTATGTAATAGTTTAAAACCGCAACTTTAATTAAATACCAACATAGTTCAATTCAAATCGATTATAATCAGTGAGTTACAATTTCATTACCGACTTAATTGATTCTACACATTCTGATCAAGTGATTAGACAGTATCATAATGACCAAGTTCAGTATACTAAGGGTTTTTATGTATATTCAACAGGATTTCGACCCAACCCAGTGATATGAATGAATACACATCTTGGATTTCACTGCTAATTACTATCCAACTAACATTACCTTGTAGTAATGCATCCAAGAGACTTAAACATCAATGTTAATTGAATATTATAGTTGTGTAAATAGTTGTTATTATCGAATAAGTGGATAAGTCTAAACATATCAATTGCTTGTATAATAAACCAAACAGTTCACATATGGTCTTAAAATTAAATCCCTAGATTGAGTAATTATGAACGAGACACATTGTGATTGATTGTACAATTACTTATGTTCTCAGCTTACATGTCGTTATCTTCGTCAGAAAGATCATTCTATGTATATAATATAATACCTATGATTTCATTGGGTTTGACAATTAAAGCTTCCTAGTCATTTCTCAGTTTTGTTACTGTCATTGATGGTCGGGCGAGTGTATAAGAAATGTGTGTGTATGGATTTAATATTATTGTAATCAACAAGAACACAGGTGTCGACAACCGAATGTATTCGGTCATGAAATTACAGAACATCTCACTAAAATCTGAGAACCATAAAGTAAATACTTAATTTGCAAAATATCAGTCCATTGTCTCATATTTCATTGTTCATGCATCTTCATACCGATTGTTTTCCCATCCCGTTCTTTTCTTCTCGATGTTCTACTGAAATATATTCTATTCCTGACTATCGTTATATACTACTTATGTGGATATAAGTAGCTCACCCCACACTAGTCCCCCCCTTTAAAGCAGTCATTATTGCGGTGGTTTTGCTCGCCGTGCCACTTTCATTTTTTCTGAAGTCTGTGAAACGCTCTCCGTCAAAGTGTCAAGTCTTCAGCGCGCTTACCTCTATAACACTGTCGACCTGCCAGGGCATCAATATCCAATATCACCTGGGACGTTTAACGCCTGCGCTCCAGCCACCTGCTGAGTCATCTACATACGTTGTCCACTCAGCAGCCACACGTCCCACCACTTTTCTCCGTCGTCACCACCCGTTACAACCAAAGCCGCCGCGCTAGAACACTCCAATCGATGTCACCTCTCCGCACCATACTGCCGCAACTGACACTTCAACTCCAGCCCCGTAACAGCGTCTACAGAACAACATTCTTCGCTCTTCCTGGTTGGCAGCGACACCAAATGGATTCAATATTATAGATTGTAATAGTATTTAAGTAAAGTAAAGTTCAAGTCTCATTTGAAGTATTAACACTAAGATCTAGTCATATTTAGGTATCTATTTTCAAATAAAACGTTATATCAGTAACAAGGTAAGCATGTGATGATAATAATACACAATTAAACCTAGAATTTTTCAACTATAAACATTAGAACAATCGTCTATGTTACTTTTGTTGTTGTCGTTATTGTTATTTTCTCTGCGTTTATTATTCTTCATTAGGTATTGTCTCTGTGGACGGTTCATTAATATCACAGGAGATAATTCTTGGAGCTGATCGAACTTATCAAAATACTTTCAAAGGTGTAATTGGTGGTAAGTTAATTAGAAAGTGAATTTTCTTTCTCTTTACTTTACCATTCTATATCAAGTATAATGTAAATAGTTAACATTAACATCTTGATACAATGCTATGTTAAGTCATAAAAGCGGGTGGTTTTCTTAGGGGGCCACTCCCTGAGCCTTTGAACAGAGGTGTAATCCACAAGATAGTGAAGAAAAGTTTGGAAATGCGGATCCATTGTAGTTGATGATCAAGAATGGATCCATACACTAGTCACTGTTTAAGGGTCCCAAAGCTCATATGAAGTGTTGATTTAGAATTAGAGTTTTCCAACTCCCTTGGGTGAATTCGCCGCACCCACAAATCCAGTTTAATCTCCGAATATTCGGTTTTCGTTTTCTGAATTTCGTAGAAAAAAACGCTTCTGCCGCAGTGAATAGGAGTTCTATGGTAATGGATATTTACGTGTGGACATATAAGAGGATTTGGATAGGGAAGGTGAACTCTTTCCATCCTCGGCCGTTCAAAAGTACTTGAGGGCTGAAATAAATTGAATCAATAGTATTTCTTAGCACTTTCAACCTAGAATTAATATAAACTAAGATATTAGAAAGCGATTCTGTGTAGATGAAGTCATCGTGATGCATCATAACTGATGACATAATGTTCTGTGTGCCTAACCCTCATTCTACTTATTCTATTATTTTATCTAGCTAGTAGTTTCTTAAAAGTCATTCATGATTACAAATTCATTACACTTCTATCTTGTATAATTAACAGTTCACCTATCATGATCACATTGTAGAACAGATCTAATTAATGCGGAAAGTTTATCCCATATTCGTTTAGATAGACATATGATTATTGAGATAATGTACCGATCAATGTTAGACTAGATGACCGTTTTTCAACTTAGCATAGAAATCCCCACCAGTGAGTATCCACGATCCCATACGTGTGATTCGAACTCAGGGCCTTCAGTCTCGTGCTTGAACCTTTAACCTCTAGATCACTGAGCCGGTAAACAATAATTAAATGAGAAAATATTTTAAAAGTGATTAGATTTTCTTGCCTTGGGGATAAAAAAACAACAGAATTTGTATATAAAACTACCGATCAATAAATAACTATTTCACTGTATTTGTAATAAACGAGAACATGGTAGGGGGAAACCAATTTATTGTTTGAAGCAAAATTACAGAATACATTCCTTCAGTTGTCCTTTACATAATCCTGTTATTATTTCTTTCTGTTTCTCTTCCTGTTCTATTCAAATTAATCTTTTACTGTCAAGGTATTTCACTTACGATTGCTATTACATACTACTTATATCTGTCAACATAAGTATATTTTGGTAAAATATTACACTACACAATATTCATTAACACAGTGATACATTAGACTGAATTTCAGAAGATTTAGTTTCTTTTTAGAAAATCTAGAACATTTTATGTATATGTTAGTTTATGATGATTTATTACTGATAGTAATTAATAGACGAACCAATCAGATTAAAGACAACAGATTTTGGCGCGAAATTCATTCATTCATTTAGCTAAGTAGCATTTTGGCACTTGGTCGATCGCATTCGATCTAAACTAAGAAAAACTTGACACATATGAAATTGATCACCACCCACTGATCAACCACTTGTGATTACATCTCAGTCCTACATGAGGTAGGCCGCGGCCCGGATAGCCCAGTAGTAAAGTCTCTAACTGTGAAGCTGGGTGATAGGGGATGGAATCCGTCATTGAACACCAGTTCCCTCAAGATTACAGGTATACATTACTGACGAGTACCAAGTAGCATGAAACCCGGGTCCAGGGTTTCCTGTCGACTACCTTCAACCACCATCTTATCTCAACATAGTACACGCAATGTAGAGTCACTTAGACTAATGGCCACATTGCAACTTGGTCGATAGCATTCGATCTGCACTAAGAAGGACTTGACATACATGAAATTGATCACCACCCAGTGATTAATCAATTGTGATAGCGTTCTGGCACTTTAGATGATGTTAGTTCGTAATGAAAACCCCAAATCTAATTCCTGACCCTAACTATCAATTGTAAATCATAATCCTTATTCCTCAGATTGATTTACAACATGCACTTAATTCTAGTAAGGAAAAGGACATTCTGAAGGTCACTTGAGCATCACCTAAAGGTAGTCCATAAATTGCAGTCTCACCTACAATTTCTTTGAACTTCAATGACTGAAATTATCAGTAATGATTGTTAACTAAACATTCGATAGTTTGATAACAAAACGATTATTGGAATCCTTCTTTTAAAGTCTTATTATTTTGATCCAGTTCACAAAAATTGAATTGAAAAATGAAGATTCATATGTGAATTTACAAAATGTATCAAACAGTTCTTGATTGTCATTGGATATTCAACTCAATTCAAAACCAATCTCTTTTCTATAACCTGCTATCATTATTATTACCATTACTGGTGTTATAATTACCATTTATCGATTAGTATCGATATTTAGGTCAGATATATTTGACATTATCATTATCCTATAAATAAGGTAGTAGATATATGTAAACTTTATCGATTTAATTAAGTACACACGCTCTCTCTACCTCACTGCTTCCCTCACTCACTCACTCTCTCCTCTCCCTCTCCCTCTCTCTATGTGTACCTTTCATTCTTATATTGAAATGATGAAAAATGGAACTATGATAAACAAAAAGAATGTACAAAATGTACAATAGTTATTTCAGTGAATCAATTACACTGAATTTCTATTCAGTAAATTTTTAAGAAGAATTAAGAAGAACAAACAAGCAAGAAAAGCAAAACAAACAAACAAAACTTAGGGAATAAACAATTCCACTTACAATTATACTAGTGACTGGCTTCAAGAGGTATTTCCTAGAGTTCTAGTGAAAAGTAGTGACCAGTAGAGTTCAACTCGGTCTGTTGTAAGATAGTAACTCACTGAAGATAATAGTGGATAGTGTCGCAATTTCGTGGATTTGGTTGAAGTTAGGCAGTAATATTAATGTATGTCGCGCACGAGACTGATAGGTGCTGGGTATGAATCTCGCGAGGCGGGATCGTGGATGCACACGGTCACTGAGGAGTTCCGTAGTAGAACAAAACAGCTGTTCAGTTCTTCAAGGTTTTTCATAGTGTTCTAGTTTCAATTGACTCATGATCTCAACTATTAAAATTACTATAATATCTACAAAATACCCTTCTGATATTAATTACAAGTTATTTTTACTAATCAAAATGGATTCATTTTATGTTTTAAGTATGAATTTCAAAAGGAAGTGTCAAATACATCAAGAATGATGTTTTCGAATGGTCAGTTACCATAGCACATAGGTTCCACGTTTCTCAATCGAATGATTTTATGTAATTGACATTGTCTATTTAGAAAAGTACAAACTTATCAACTGAATGTAATTTTATCTTAATTGTTGATGTCTATAACGAAATTCAAATATGTATTACTTACTTACACTTTTTACTCCTCGTAGAAGAGCGTAGACCACCCACCAACATTCTCAATCGAACTTTATCCTGAATAATCCTTTCCAGTTGTTTCTAGTTGCTATGCATCTTTACGATGTATGTTTCCAATACCTGACACAGTGTATTCTTTAGTCTTCCTCTTTTCTATTGTTTTAAAAAAATATCAACACTTTAATAGATATGATATATCTTAACATCGTCAAACCAGTTGTGTCTGTCTAATTGTTACACTCAATCTTATACAAAGTGTCATTCACTTCATTGACAATTGTCAACTGTATAAAGCATAGGAAATCCTGGGAGCACTGGATAGCCATTTCATCCTAATATGGGACTCCTCAGTGTCCGTGTGCATCCATGATCCCGCCTCGCGCGATACCAACCCAGGGCATATCTTTCTCTCTCGCGAATGCTTAACCTCTAGACCACTGAATCGATATCTAGTGATGTTAATGTCTAACTTCAACCGATCCACAATACATTCATGTATACATATTTCTGATAAATCTACCCTATAGAAACATATGTACGTACACAAATATGCATATGTGGATAAATCATTCTTCCAGTCTTTTTCTCTCTAAAAATTGTTTTCATAGCGTCATAAACTAGTTCTGTCTTTTTAATTACTTCTCGTTCTATCAATTTAATATGATGAATCATTTCAATCGTGTGTGTGCGTGTATATGTTTGCAAGGGGGTGAGGTGGAGGATGGTGATTGCATTACTACTATGTATCTTACGTAACAATTACTGTTACCACTATAACTATCTAAAATCATAATAACAAAGTGTCCCCCCTGTCAAGAAATATGTTGGCATAAATAAAACATAACGGTAGAAAACCATTAAAAAGATGTAAAAAATAACAAATTATACATTGTTATCAAAATGATAAAAGGTATAAACTGTAAAGAAAACTATCATCATCATTCATTATTATCAATGGAAGATGTTGTTCTCTCTTGGAGAGAGAGCGAGAGAGAGAGCAAGAGTGAAGGTTCAACGCTATAAATCTGTCTAAATTTGCCAAACTGATGATCATATTAACTGGTAACATTTATCTTTCATTCATTCATTTGATAATGGTATTAGTAGTGATAGGCTCTTTATTTGTTTTTCATTAATTTAATCATAAACAATATTCAATTACTTGTGTACAGAAAACAACCCCCCGCTCCCCCCCCACATAGTTTCTCATTTCTTGCTTGTATGAGGTAAATTTATGATATTTGGATATGATTACATAAACGTATGTAAATGTATAGGGAAGCTTGTAGTTTACAGTATACAATACACTATGACTGTGTATATTGTTATAGAAACTATTGTATTTTATATATAAACATTTCTGTTAGAAACCTAACAACCTATTCACACTTGTTCTATAATAATTTATTTCTATATTTGATAGTGTACTAATTTGAAGAAGTTACTTCAAATTGAATTGATACAAATCAACATTTACTAGGATTAATTAGATGTAAATAAATGATCATGGTGATTGGTCAATATTTCAATGATTATGATTGGCTAGTTTTATTGTAACTAAGAGGGTGAATTGTAGACGATACTTTCTTTTAATTTTATGGATTCAAAATCGAACTCAAAACTGTTGCTATGTGGTACTGCTTTTTATTAATTTGAGCGGTTGGTGGTGATCGAACTCATTCATTACTTGGAGTTCACTCTTCGAGGCTTCAAAAATCGTTACGGGTTGCTTGATGTGTATAGTTTTGTAATATGAATTACAAGAGTGTCGGCTTGTGTAGTTGTGTATGTAGGTATATACAAAGAGTACGCTTAAGGCTCACAAAAGAAACGTAATCTGAGAAGGCATCTACCCTATGCCTATTCATATCAGCGACCTAAACCATTAGGTCGAACGCACAATAAAAATACATAGTAGCCAATACCATAGAGAGATAACCATCAAACCTTCCTAAAAGCGTGCTTCTGCTTGTGTGTGTGTGTTAGAAAGTGCACGGACGAAAGTTTTTGCACTAGCGGTATACATGTAATGCGTAAGAGACAGTCAGTTTTAGCATATACGTTCGAACTGAGCGCTAAGAGTCTACCCTCCCAGATGAATGAATATACCTATATGTACGTTATGAGATGCATGGGTGAAAACTTATATGTTACTGGTATACATGTAACATATAATTTCCCCTGATGCGACGCTCGCGCGCTATGCCTCGGGGGGTTTCGGCTTCGCCAGAAAATCACATCCACATGGTGGGTTTGTGAACTTTTAAAGCGGAAACCATTTCCAGAAAAGCCAATCGGCTTCATCAGGTAAAGTTTGATCAACTTTAATACAGCTGGAACACCACAGCGCACATTTATGGGTAGGGTAGTTAGTATTGGCTTATAGAAAATGGTGAAATATATCAATTCATTCCTCAATGATGAAAAACCATTCGGGATCTGACTCATGAACAGTCTAAAAAACCATTGGTATTTTTCAATTTCACTATCCGTGGTCATTGTGTTATTGGTTCAAGAGATGGTCATATACGAACACGTCATTAGCTGACTTCATAATTAAGTCAGTTGATCGTACCGGCAATATTAAGAATCTCTGCTAATATGTAGCAAAGCTCACTCTCATTTCAATGTATTCTCATTGAATCAAAATTATATTTGCATATACATATATATAAATGTGTGTAGACCAATATATGTCGCATCCCTCTACCCATTATTATTCTTATTTTCCATTTATAATACAGCTTTCTACTGGAACGGACAATATTTAATTAACCAAGTTGGTTCACTAGTCTCCAATACTAAAGTCATGGTGGCTCCAGGTAGAAATGTTGCTAAAAATATGGATGAAATAGTTGTGGTGCTTATGCCTGAATTATTAAAACCAATTAAACCAAGCATTCCTGATAATAAACCATTACCGGAAGTTCTACCAGATGGTATAATAGCAGGTGGTGTTGTTATGCCTGGTTTAGGTAATAGAAATGAAGATCATGGAGGTGTAATTCATATATCTGGTAAGTGATGTTTTTCTTTCTTGTTATTATTAACGTCAAAAATTGATTTCACGATAAATCATCACAGTCGTTTTGTCTTAATATGAGACTCCTCAGTCGTAAATACCAACAACTCCTCAACGAATTGAAGTAAACGAGTTATATCTAGACCATCAAAGCATCATCCATTGAATTCACCTACAATATCATCGATTGTCTTCTTCTTCTACTTTTTCTTGACATTCATAATAGTTGAATTCCAATGAAAACAAATTACCACTTAGAAAATTTAATACATTATTAAGAAAAGTCATTAATTGGATTCATGAGTCAATTGAAGTTAGATCACCATGGAAAACGTGGAAGCACTGAATGATTGTTTCATCCTAGTATGGGACTCCTCAATGGCAGTGCGCATTCACAATCCTGCCCAGCGAAATACCGGCTCAGTAGTCTAAATATTAAACGTTTGTGCTTGAGAACAATAGATCCTGGATTCGAATCTTGCGAGGTGGGATTGTGGATGCACATTGTCACTGAGGTGTCCCACAGTTAGACAAAACGACCACTCAATACTTCCAAGTTTTCCATGATGGTTTAACTTCAATTGATTCATCAATTCAAGGAATAAAATGACTAAAATCTCCACAAAAACCCTTTTCATATTATTAAGAAATGCTTAGATTAGATTTGATTAACTCATGACATATTTTCTGTATGAAATTACATTACTTGTTTATATCATGCGACATACCGAAGTCAGTATGTGGTAATTATTATTTCAATGAAATAATTAATGGAATTAATAAATATTTCTTATTCATTAGAACACCATGGTGTAAGATATTCATATAAATAGTTGACAATTAACGGCTTAGTAACTATATACATATCTATGAGTAATTCAATACAGAAGCTTATTATATATCTATCTAATGGTGTTAGTTTTTGTAAACATCTACTATTTGTATTTTTATACCGGTTTATATTGATTGATTAATTGAGCAATGATAAATATCATATTTATTTAGTTGATCTTGGTATTTGATAGAAATCTGATATTGATTTAGAAAGTTTGATTGACTATTATCAACTTGGATCATTTATGGAATAAGTGAGATATTTGTCTGCCAATTAAAGGTATACATGTAGGTTATTAGTCATTTCTATCATTGGTGTATTTTCGGAGTAAGCAATACCTGAGGTAGTAAGTTTTCATCAATTAAAGTTGTTTGGACATGTGTTACGTATTTTAGATGGTGGTTGGAGGTAGTCAACAGGATCAAATCCGCCAGGGAGTACCAGTTCCCTCAAGATTACAGCAGGGTTTCCTGTTGACTACCTCCAACCACCATCTAAAATCTCAATACATAGTGCCCACAGTTTCGAGTCACCTAGACTAATGACCATATTGCAACATGATCGATAGCATTCGATCTGCACTAATAAGGACTAGACAAGCATGTCATTGATCACCACCCAGTGATCAATCAATTGTGATGTGTTAAGTATGCTGAACTAGCGTCTACGTTGATGCGACATGTTTCCTGGTGTATGGGTAGACTGGAAGAGAGGTATGGGGCAGCCAAACCAAAACATTGCATTATCAGTCCATAAAGTCACTGATTATTGAACTGAGCCATGTTATTAAGTGAAGACTATCTGGTTGTTTCTGAGTGATGATTGTAAACAATGGTTAGAGACTTTGAATGACATGACTCAAAATCGTTTGGAATGTCGCAGGTGCATCTGCTTCTCGTCTTCCCCCTCAAATTCTGACCTTCTGAATTCCTCATAACTTTTCTATTTTTATTTCATGAATTTACATTTCCTTCTTGAAGTGTGTCTTTGATGTTTAATCGTTACTATCACCACTGGTACTATTGCTACTTGTATCATTCTGGAATTTGACTTGACAATTTCATCTCTCCGTGCTAATGAGATAGGGCAATATAAACTGATGCACATACGTATAAGGTTCTATATTGCAACCGATTGAATGACTGACTTAGCGTTGATGGACCTCTATCAAACAAGTTTGTAATGTGTTTACTGATCTAAATGATTTGATACTATGTACACTATAGTTTTGTTATTAAACAGTTCGAGATATTCAGTATGAAACTCTATGGTGACTTAAATTTCGTGTTAGTTGGCACTTGTCAGTGAGGCGTATCGATCCACGATTAGTCAAAGTAAACGAATCAAATCATTCTAATGTCATATAATGATAACACAGCTTCAAGAATAGCAGAGAAAGCAAACTTATCAGAATGATGATGCTTGGAAACTAAACTAAATGTTGCATTGTAATCGAGTACAACTTAGATACCTATCTTTAGACTATTGGCTCAATTCAATACCAACTGATTTAAAAGTAGTGGCATATGATTACATCAATTAGATTATCGTCAATAGTTGCTAGGACACCTTAGGTCTATGGTTTGTGTCAACTATCACTTATCAACAAAGAGTACTTACAATCTGGAAATAACTGATATACCCTGGTGGACTCTAACTCTTATCATCCTCTATCATAATATGAGTAGTTGCCAGTAAGCTATTCAAGCCAAAAACTGACCTTCTAAAAAAGATTAAGATATTCAAACTATTTAATCACCGTATGATAACCAATGATATATTCATCTAGTCTTTGAGGTTGATAGGATTCTATTGATCAAGTTACAATCTGAAAACCAATCTGTAAGACTTGATATCTCATTCACTAATTTTGTCCTTTCAAGTAGCTGGAGGTAATGGGTGATATTTCATAAAGATCAGTGTTTTAGTAGATAATGTTAGTTTTGATTATTTTAAAAGGTTTGAATTGTATTCTGCGGTCTGATTCCATTATGCGATATACAATTCCTACGGTGTATCAAACTCATTACACAAATCAGAAGCATGTAAAGAGTTGTCTTTTTAATACATATTATGACACTTGGGTTAAAACATTGACTAGGTGTCAGACTGATTTCCTTCGATTGTGCTTCTCACATATAATTTCTGACCTACCTTTTAACTCTGAGAAGGTTTGTGTGCGTAAACGTGTTACGCCTTTGTAACAAATCAATTTATCTGTTTATATAGTTAGAAAAACACTTGATTGAACAAGCCAGTGGCTATTTGGATTCAATAGCTAAATAGATAACATAATCGTGTTTGAGACGAACGGTATTGGGTTCGAGTTCCAAGTAGGACGAAACATGCTCTCTGGATTCAACTGCTAACCACTATACATTTCTGTTGAAAAGGCTTGTGACTTATATCATATGTCAAAAGTGACTGATCGATCTCAGTACTAAAGACAAAAAGGAAGATGGAAAGTGACTTAAATGATAAAAACGTATAAAAGGAACTATTAATTGAAGTAGATCAAAGTGTTCAACTTCAGATAATATTTTTGAAAACATGACAATTTTAGTCTAGTAAACGACCCAGCACTTCGTATATTTTAGATAATTAAAATGTTATATGAGTTTTGAGACATTTACAGTTGACTCTATGAACTGAACACGGTTAGACAAGCAATGTAAACTATGAGGTACTGGACACTGATTTCTTCTTGGTGTAGGACTCTTCAGCAATGAACATAAATGACTCTAAAAGGAAATCTAACCCAAGACATTCAATAATCATAGTAAGAGGTTACCTTTGACACCATTAATTCGTAATAAACGTCTACTTTAGAATAATTGCCGACAAAATTCAGTTACTTATATACCACAGTGGACCTATTCTTGACCATATTTAAATGTTGTTGTCGATAGGATTGAACAAATTGTAGGTTTCCTTGTATGGTAAACACATAAAACATCTTGAACTGATAACATTCATTTTTGTTCAACTCTGCCTATGATCAACTTTAAATCATGTTGTATAGTCTTGAGAACAGGGTGGATCTGATGCAGATGTGAAGGCGCGGATCGGCAAAGCAAGAGCAGCATATTTACAACTGAGGAACATCTGGAACTCAAAGCAACTGTCAATCACCACCAAGGTCAGGATTTTCAATACAAATGTCAAGACAGTTCTACTGTATGGGGGAGAAACCTGGAGAACTACGAAAGCCATCATCCACAAGATACGAGCGTTTATTAACAGATGTCTACGCAAAATACTTCAGATCCGTTAGCCATACACTATCAATAAAAACCAAATATGGGAGAGAACAAACCAGATTCCAGTGGAGAAAGAAATCAGGAAGAATCACTGAAATTGGATAGGACAAAGATTGAGGGAAGTACTCAATTGCGTCACAAGGCTACCCTCATCACTTGGAATCCTCAAGGTCAAAGGAGAAGAGGAAGACCAAAGAACACATTACGCCGGGAAACGGAAATAGACATGAGAAAAATGAACAAGAATTGGATGGAACTAGAAAAGAAGGCCCAGGACAGAGTGGGTTGAAGAATGCTGGTCGGTGGCCTATGCTCCATTGGTAGTAACAGGCGTAAGTAAGTAAGTAAGTAATCTTGAGAGCAGTTATTATCGTCAACGGCGCATACATAACTGACACAATTCAATAACTCACATTTTCATTTCATTATTGTCATCTATTCAGTTCGTGTAAAGATGATAGTTTACAGGAGATAATTTACAACTCATCAAACATTTCATAATATCATGCTTATTTCTTCACATCTTGAATAATTCTTTACATTCTATCCTTTTATCTTCTTTCTAATCACAACAACTAACAAATATTAGATGGTAATATCTATGGCGCTGGTGCAACTGGAATCAATGCCGGTACTGGATTGATTCTTTCTCAAGCTGGTGGATTATTTGGTTTAGGCGGTGCTATGATTGATGGTCTATTAGCTGGATTACTATTAGCTTTGTTATTATTAATCTCTGCTTTAATATGGGCGTGCTGGCGATGTAAACCTGGATGTTGTGGTTGGTGTACTGGTAAATCAAGCGGATTAGCTGGACGTAGTGCATGGAGTCGATTAGCTGCGATATGTTGTGCTGCTCCTGAAAGCGCTATTATTGGTAAGAGTTTTTTTAAATGAAATTTTTTAAAATCATTTCAAATTACTATGAATGTCTACAACTTATGAATCATTGTATAGTGACTAATGTCATGTATACCAAGTCATTCTTAATACTGATGTAAGGTGATGGTTGGAGGTAGTCGATATCAAACCCTGCACGACCTATGTTTCATGCTATTTGAAATTTGACAGCAAGGTTTACTTGTAATATGGAAGGAACTGATGCTTTTTGGAGAGTTCGGCATAATGTCTGGCAACTTCATAGATAAGGATGCTACCATTGAACCATGCAGGTGACGACTGTACACTTTGATGTCGATTGTTAAATAACTCTAAACCTAGATCCAAGGTTTCCTCGCGATCACCTTCAAATACCATTATGTATGTGCACTGCTGAAGAGTCCCACTATGGGACGAAACGGCCGTCCAGTGCTTCCAGGTTTTCAATGGTGGTCTAACATCAATCGGTTCATGATCTCAACTATTGAAATTACTATAATATTTACAAAAACCCATTCTGATACAAATAAATATCAAACGAAATTAAGGAAAAAACAGATAAGTTGGGTTGGATATACAGATTTAACCAACCATTTTGGTTAAGTTATACCAGTGAAAATTAATGAATGTTTAGTTAAGATGTCTCGATATGCATACTTAAACATTTCATATGAACAAAATAGATAAAAAAGCTTATAATATGTATCGAAAGGAAGATGCACTGATCGAGTTTGAAAGTGTTGAGATGATTTGTTACTTCCTACCAACACAGAGAACACTAACCTAGTCACATATATTGGAGAAGCTCTGGAAGATGTGGAATCTTTCATGTATCTGAACAGTATCATCGATGAACAAAGGAGGATTCGATGCAGACGTAAAGGCGAAGATTGGAAAGGCAAGGACAGAATGCCCACAGTTTATGAACATATGGAACTCAAAACAACTGTTATCCAACATCAAAGTCACAATCATCAATATAAATGTCAAGAAAGTTCTAGTGTATAGAGCTGAAACTTGGAGAACTACTAAAACCATTATCAAAAATGTACAAATATTTATAAATAGTTGTCTACGCAAGATATTCAATGTCCGTTGGTTGAATACCATGAGAAATAATTCACTGTGGAAGACAGCAAACCATTTTTCAACTAAAGAGAAAATTAGAACAAGATGCTAGAGGTGTATGGAACATACATTGCTAAAATCATCAAACTGACGATGAGTTGATTGTACTACTGAAGAAACTCATATTAGGACGAAGCAACAGTATAATGCACATGTGGTGATTCGAAAAGTGATATTCTTTTTAACAAGTCATTACTTTCAATGTAAATATCCACTGAAAACATTCTATTGAAACTCAGTTTGTACTTTGTTGACTGATCCATATCTAATCAATCAGTATTAGTGAGCTAATGGAAATAGAGATAAAATTTAGTGTATTTTACTATCAAATCATTGTTCCTTGAGTTCGTTGGCATATGCATGTAGTTCACTTCCATATTTTACCTTAGTTTGAGAGAAGTCGAGTAAGGTATCGTGGTTAGGGAATAAATTAGCTAGTAGGAAGAACCAAATGAATCTAGAATATTATTTCTATGCTAAGACGCTTTGCTTCTATCTGTAGCAAGAAAATCTGTGTTTAAATACCAGTATAAACAGTAACTTCTTGTTTAAATAATAAAACGCTAGTCAACATTATTACATGTGGACTGGGAAGTTATGGAAATTGTTGAATTCCATTGCAATCACAAAATAATCGAAGTTAAATCACCAATGAATACCTCATTGTGTGTCCTATCTACTTCCAGCACTTCTTCCTGATTTCTTCATCCACTGGAATCTGGTCTGTTCTCTCTCACAGAAGGTTGTTACTGATAGTGTATGACCAACGGATCTGAAGTATTTTGGGTAGACAACTGTTAATAAACACTTATATCTTTCGGATGGTGGCTTCTCATAGTTCTCCAAGTTTCCACCCCATACAATAGAACTGTCTTGACATTGTCACTGAAAATTCTGACTTTGGTGTTGGTTGACAGACAGTTTTGAGTTCCAAATGTTCTTCATTCGTAAATATGCTGCTGTTGCTTTGTCAATCTGCGCCTTCACATCTGAATCAGATCCACTGTGTTCATCAATGATGCCGTCCAGATATATCAAGGTTTTACATCTTCCTAAGCTTCTCCATCAAATGTGATTCGATTAGTGCATGTTGTGTTGTATCGGAGAATCTTACTTTTTCTTTTATGAATGTTGAAACCTACTGCTGCTGAGGCTGCTGCTACACTGGTCGTTTTTTCCTGCATTTGTTGTTGCGTATGAGATAGAAGAGTCAGATCATATTTGAAGTCTAGATCATCCAGCTGTATCCTAGATATCCACTGTATCCCATACTTCCCCACAAATGTTGACGTCTTTATGATCTAGTCGCTCACCAGGAAAAAGAGAAAGGGCGAAAGTAAGTAACTTTGCCCGACACCGGTCTTTCCTTTGATCGAGTCTGACAGTTGTCCTCTATGTACGATTTCACAATTTACGATTACTCAACCATCTTATTATTATTATTATCATTCAAGAAAAATAATGTTTATTTTCTTTATTTCCATTTCCTTTATGTTCTACTAGTCAAAGAAAAGAAACATTTACTGGTAAGCAACTAAAAATTGTGTTTTATTGTTGTCATTGTTACTGTCAACATCATCGTTGTGTTGATTTATTATCATTTGATTGGTTAGTCATTTGTTATGTTCTATGGTTCGATTTCATTATTATGTAGACTACCTATGATACATCAAACCCAATATGTAAGACAAAAAGACCAAAATGATTTGGAATGTTTCAATGTTGAACTGTATATGAAGCTTATGTATTGTTATAATTTGTGGCCTGAGTGCCCTACTGATGTATAACATAATGATCCCGCCAATTACAGAACAGTGAACTATCGATTGGACCAATGGCGCATAAAACCCGTATGAGTAGCCTAGAGTCCTTATCGGTCCTGCTTCCTGCCTAGCACAGCCTTTTCAGTTCAGAACACCAGTCTCAGCCTCTTCAATAAGAATTATTTATTCTAAACATACTGGGTTTATACACCAACTAGGTAGACGACACCGTACCAATAAAAGAGGAAAAAACATTTGTATAAGAATTAGCCAAATGTGGCTATGAATGAGGGAGGTAGTAATTAGTTGACAAGGCATAATTCAAGAATGGTAAATCGTATAATAATAATTCATAGGTCAAAATAAAGCTTATAATAAGAGGAATATGAATATGGACAGTTTAGTTACATAACAACTATACGATAAAAATATACTCATAGTATTGATTCATAAATGGATCACAAAAGTTACCATTCATTATTCTTGTCGGGATATAACAGGTATACATAAGTATATTTGTTCTTTTGAATCATTCAACGACATATTGTTTGAGTTCTTGTTTGGGTAGACAGTTGAACTATCTAATAAAAATTACCAAAGGATTAATAATGTTGAGAAGTGTTATATCTTTTCCTGCTTATCAATGATCACATAGCAAAATTATCGATCAAAATATCGATTTCTATGTTATTGTCCCTGTTATAAACCAATGATACTTCAACTAGCACTAGTAAAGGAATATGAATATAATGTATAATCTAGTTACTTAATAGTTATCCAATAAGAATTTTTCTGGTTAGGTTTTTTTAGCGGTTTTAGTTTTCTACGGGATGGGGACGTTAACCCCATGCCCAACCCTCCTCCTTTAACCAGGCTTGGGACCGGCAGTAACTCTAGAAGAGCTACAGGCGGAGTTATCCAATAAGAATATATGAAATAATAGTCCATGCTGGTCAGCGGCCTTTGCTCCATTAGGAGTAACCAGCGTAAGTAAGTAGGTAATAATAGTCAATGAATAATCCATAACAGTTGTCATTCATTTATAATTATTTCAAAGCTTTACTAAACAATAGTGACTAGAATATCAAAACAATGTCCTTAGAGAATATGATTCACTATTTCACTTCCTATACAGATATTTTATCCTGTTTGATAGAACTTATTTTGTTATATCTATCTATCCTACTTTCTCTCGCTACTTTCCAGAGTGATAATGGCAACATAGGCATAGTAGATGGAGCAGCGGTAAGTTTTATTGATTGTTTCCGCTGTTATTTTGTTCATCGATATAACTAGAATAGATATAAAGTTTTTCAATATACCGTTTAATATGAATCGTCCCACAATAGGACGAAACGACCGTCTCGTACTTCCAGGTTTTCTATAGTGGTCTAGCTACAATTGATTTATGATCTGAACTATTGAAATTATTACAATCTCCACAAAATCCCTTGTGATACAAATGCTGATACTAGATCATTATAGTGAAATTGCTTTCCATGAGTTAAGCAGTTAATTCTTAAAAGTGTTATGATCGTTTGGCACATGACGTGTAGACAACCGTTGACATGAGTATGATTAGCAAAAAATATTGAAAGTTTGAATTGAGACCGGTTGAAAGTTTCTAAAAGTCTCTGTTATTGAACTAAGTCCCCAATCACTTAAATTATCAATATAGTAGTTGTGGAGATTAAATTTTTGATTGATATCATGGACCGATTGATGTTAGACCATCATTGAAAACCTGGAAGCACTGAACGACCGTTTTTTCCTATTGTGAGACTCCTTAGCAGTGCGCATCCAGTGGAGCTATTCCGTGTTGGGTAGAGACAGGTATCTACTTCAGTACAATGTAAGATGGTCGCGCAACTTCGTGGATTGGTTGAGGTTAGACATTAAAGCCATTGGATGACGGCTCGGTTGTCCAGTTGGTTAAGCGTTCGCGCGTGATACTGAAGGCTCTGTGTTCGAGTCCCTTGAGTGAGATTATGGATGCGCACTGCTGAGGATTCCTATAATAGGACGAAATGGCTTTTCAGTTCTTCCAGGTTTCCAATGGTGGTCTAAAACCAATTGGTTCATGATCTCAAACAAAAACATTTAAATTATCGACATTGATCTAATCCATCACCATTTATTGGTCAACCGGTTATATGGTTGGAAGTTAATATAACATAATGAATGTGAAGTTAATAAAAGATTTTGATATGTAGAATTATTTTAATGATTCCAAGCTCAAGTTGATGCTTATAATGTCGTGCTTAATGATAATGAATGCAACATTACTGAATGTAGTCAGTTTAGTTTGGATGTAGGGTTATTAAATCGGATCACAGGATTATAGAATTCACGAACTACCAGTTTAGTTTTCGACAATTTGACTAATGACCTTATATTTGACCAATAATAGAATGATTATGAGTAATGACCATAAACTCTTCATTCCTATTGATTCAATGATCTCTTAATCTTAATATCCAACTCAAAAACAAATATAAATCTTCAATGTTTATGTTACCATCAAGATCAGAAAGAAATTTTAAAACGGAACAATAAGTAAGTGATCAATCAATATAGGGGATTTACAGAGATTGTCAAATTTTTACTGTTTAAATCATGAACAGATCTTAACTGGACCACCATTAAGAACCTGAAAGTGCTGGACAGATGTTTAATCTTAGTATGGGACTTCTCAGTTGTGCGCATTCACGATTCCCCACTCGGAAATTAAATCTTCCATCTGATACGTAAACGTCTAACCTCTAGACCACTGAGCCGACATTCAACGGTGTTAATGTCTGATTAAGGTACTGCATAGCTCTCATCCATTACCAGTTGTTAATTGATGGGATTTTTGAAGTGGTAAACATATAAAGAAATTTAATAAGTGAAAATGAGAGTTTGAGATTAAAACAATACGAATATAACATTTAACAATCATTATAATAATTACATTATAAAAGCGGATATAAGCCTCAGCAGCAGTAGGTTTCATTATTTATAAAAGGAAAATTAAGATTCTCCGATACAACACAACATGCACTAATCGAATCACATTTGATGCAGAAGCTTAGGAAGATGTAAAACCTTCATATATCTGGACGGCATCATTGATGAACACAGTTTATCTGATGCAGATGTGAAGGCGCAGATTGACAAAGCAACAGCAGCATGTATACGAATGAAGAACATTTGGAACTCAAAACAACTGTCTGTCAACCAACATCAAGGTTAGAATTTTCAGTGACAATGTCAAGACAGTTCTACTGTGTAGGGCGGAAACTTGGAGAACTATGAGAAGCATCATTCAGAAGATATAAGTATTCAACAACAGTTGTCTACTCAAAATACTTCGGATCAGTTGGCCAGACATTATCAGTAACAACCTACTGTGAGAGAGAACAAACTATATCTCAGCAGATAAAGAAGTCAGGAAGAAGTGCTGGAAGTGGATAGAACACACATCACAAGGCAAACTCTCACATGGAATCATCAAGGCGAAAGTTGGAGGAGAGGAGGAAGATCAAATAACAGAATACGTGGAGAAATGGAGGCAGACATGTGGAGAATGGACAAACATTGTATAGAACTAGAAAGGGATGCCGAGGACAAATTGGTCTGGAGAATGGTGGTCGGAGGCCTATACTTGATTGTGAGTAACAGGCGTAAGTAAGTAAGTAAAAGCGGATATATCAATCCCCTCATGCAATAGTTTTGAAACATCCATTTCTCCCAGTTATTTTCTTTGATCCAACATACTTATCAGATCGTGTTTCTATGAATTTTCTTCACACAAATGTTTTCATCTTTTTTTTCATCTTTATTCACATAGACTGGTGGTATGACTGCAACAAGTCTACAATCATTACAAACTCAATCACGTATAGTTAAAGCGCCTCTATCGGTAACCAGCTATCCTATAGGACATAATCATAGATTAGATCTGACAGATCAGTAAGTTTGAATTTGTGTTATTTACATGAAAGTTTAACTTGTTTCAAGTTTGAACTACGGTTTGATCTTAGTTAGACAATCATTGAAAAACCAGAAAACAATAGATAATCGTTTCATCCCAGTATATAACTTACCAGCTAGATGCATAAATTACTTCATGGAGGACCAAATCCGGTAAAACTGTCAAGTCCGGTGGAAATAGTTTAACCTTTTTAGTATAAGGGTTGTAAATATTATTGAATTTTCTATAGCTAAACAGCCACAGAAGATCTGGAGGTACTGGACAGCTATTTTGTCGCATAATATGACTCCCTAAGTGTGCGTATTCACGACTCTGCCACCAAATAGCCTTGAAAGGAAATTTCTAGAGTTTTATTGAGAAGCCTTGAAGTGTCATACAGTCGCATCATGTGTGAGAAAGTTATTCATCAGAAACAATAGAGGGTAATAATTCACAAACCATTTCACTTTTTGAAAAGAGATTACTGATATGTTACTGAGATGTCTCTGTATCGCTCTACCTACCTACCTACGTACCTACATACAATTAACAAATTCTAAATGAAAATATTCTTTGGTGTAACTATAATTTATGGATAACTGTTGAGCAACGCTAAAGGGACCTTGAGTAAACTTACTTATTAGGGTCTAAAGAGGATTATAAATTAATGTGAGGAAATGGGATTAGGAGCTAGAGTTAGCTAGAGTTGGAACTGACAACAGCTATAATGTCATATGGATGTATGAACTTCATGCCAAAATCCATGCGCTCTTATCTTCAGTCTGATTGGTTCGTCTACATACTGTAGTTGATACGTTTATGTTCAACACGTTTCTGTTTTGTTTTTTTCTGAAAATTTCAGAATTGGAGCATCAGGTATTTCCACTATACGTATTGATCAACCAGTAATGGATGATTTAAGCGCACGTCAAAATGTCTACAATATGGAAGGTATGAAAGTTGACTGTGTTGTCATTACTAAGAATAGTAAATATGTTGTAACTGGATCTGGAATGGGACCACCACAAGTATGGGATACTCAGGTAATTTAATTAAGTAATAATGTTTTCAATGTATTTTGGTAATGTACATTTATACACATTATCTACTGATGAGACTTGTTCATCTAAGTTCTTTGTCGACTACTTTCAACCAACTAATGTCAGTTATAGTAATATCCAATATGAGATCTGGTACATGTATGTTTATTGATCGAAGTAACCATGATTCACATCAGCACATATCAACAGAAGAGATTTTATGAAAAGTAAATCTAAGGAATTCAATTTTACCTCTAGTGGAAATCAAACTAGGAAACATTTATCCACAAAAGAATGCATTAAGAAAAATATACAGAATGGTTACAACCATGTCGCTGACTGATTTCGTATCAGATTACTTAATAAATAAATCTTTATTTAGTGTTCAACACTCTGCACTGTGATGTCAACTCATTGAACCTAGTAGTCCTTACATCAAGGATCAGACAAACATGATTGGTGTCATTCAGGTAGTGAATAAGAACCAAGAAACACTGGATAATTGTCTCGTCTTTGTGTATGAATCCTCAGCTGTGTACACCTATAAATAATCCTTTAGGGATTGGATACAGGACCTTCAGATTTATCAATGAGCTCTTAACCTTATGACCACTGAACCATGATCCGATTGTCTACGTATCTCAACTTTAAACAATTCGTCATTTCCACAAACCTTTTTCATACAGATCAAATATGATATTAGTTACTAATCAGTGATTGATCTATATTTTGTCTATTGTATAATTTCATTCAATTAATTGATTATTAAAAGTTATATAATCAGTGCATCTCTGAATATCTATGATTAACATCATTAAGAATTGGCACTTATTCACTCTTAATAATTCCTTGCTCTCCCCCTTTTCTCTCTTTGTTCCTGTGCAATATTTCTACAGTCTGGTGATTTATGCAAAATTATGGATGGTCAAGAATTTGGTTGTACAGATTTACATTTAGCTTGTGATGATTCTGTTCTAGTCGCTCAAGTATTAGATGATATCACTGGATTGGATACATTAAATGAACCAAGTGAAATTCGTGTAAAACGTCTACAGGTAAATGTTTAAAATGATATTGTTTTATTCCTATGAAGACAGGAGAACTCTTGAGTGTTTATATGTGTCATTCTGTTACAACGTTGAACCTGGTACGTATGTACATCAGTTCGAGTTGCTATGCAATTAGCACATATACATATGAAATTGTCAGGTCAAATCTCAGAGGTAGGAATTGTATCAGTGGTGATAGAAACGATTAGACATCGAAAAAGTTATTAAGAATTCCAAAGCTTAGAATTTGGGCATAGACCAACAACCGATTCATTGGAACCATTTGTAAATGATTTCGAACCATGTTATTCACAGTCTTTAACTATTGTCTACAATAATCATGTGGATCTCGATATGTATATAATTTTTATATTCAATGTATATTAATATATGATGTAACTGTACTTTAATGATCATCTTGAATCAATTTAAAGTGATCACTTATCTATAAACAACTCCAAATATAGATTACCTGAATCAACAATTAAGTCTACAAGTGTAGCGTGGAGTTGAGTCACGATTGACTATGAACACCACTACAAGAAAGCACGTACCAGAGAAACCAGAAGGTGAAGATAGAGCGTAACCAGATTTATTTTGTTGGCGATCTCGTGGTATCGAACGAAAATCGAGATTGTGCCAAAAGGAATACAAGCGGAATTAGTGGGCGAGAGTACAAGCGTACAATGTCACAGTCCACGGGAAAGGAATGCAGTCTAATGGAGTAGTAATATGGCTGTCTTTAGCACAGTTGAACAAACGAGCACAGTAAAACAATCACTGGTACAATTGGTTATAATAATGATTGTTTACATTAAACCCATCTCGTTCTCTTGATAAAAGTAGGTCACTACAGAAGACTACAGTTCTTCTCAAAAGACTTAAGATGATTCTCTGTATCAAGGATGTTATATTGTTCAAAAGAGTTCATATACACTCTTGATTATATCTTGAATAAGATATAGTTTTGTTATTAATGCAGGTTAATCGATTTCTCGACAAGACTTGTCAACCAGAATTCATGTTAAAGTTTATTCACTTTGTGTGCGCTATTTTGTCTGTAGTCTAATGTCCTAAGCTTTGACGAATGATACACTTCAAATACCATGATTAACATTTTTAATGGAGTTTTATTCTCTGAGATGGATGGTTTGGTCGTGGAGCTTCCATTGATCCTCTGAACAACATCATCAGCACAAACTTCATCGTCCTTCTGAACGATGAAAGCTCAACGACCAAACCATCCAGCTCAGAGAACGAAACTCCATCAAAATCATCCACCTGAGCTGCAAATCTTCTCTATTATCATGATTAACCTTGAATTGAGACTGACAGTGACTAGAATATTGCCGAGTAGAGATCAACTAATTAAGTTTTTTTGTTATTACATAAGAGTTGTTTCTTTAAAGGATGGCCTTAAGAAACACATTTCTGTGATAATATTAGTTTGTCACCTGATTGGTTGTTATCGCGTTAAGTGTGCTAAAGTTAATCTAATCTACATGGTTATCGTACGTTATTAAAATGAATAGCGGTTAAACGTTTGCACATGAAATCGAAGATCCTGGATTCGAATCTTCCGCTACCACTGAGGAATCCTATACTAGGACGAAATAGCCATTCAGTGCTTCCACGGTTTTCATTAGTAGTAGTAACCTTATAATGATCAATTCATGATCTCAATCAAAATGAACCGAGTTGTCCCATTTTTTTTCTAGAAGTTTCATCTTCTCTATCACTATTCACATGTGGATTTTGATTGTACCACCACTTTATCATTTTCTTCATTTTCTTTCTTCATCTTGTTATTCTTTTTTTGTTTTGTTTTCAGTTATGGGATTTTGCTACAGGTCGACAACTTGAAATGCCAATTGAAATTATGTGTACAGCTACTTGTATTACACGATCCAGTGAATATGTTATCATTGCACAAGTTACACAAGAAGGACCAGCTATATTAGTATGGAATTTAACTGGTAATCAATCAGATCATATTATTCCATATCATCCAGTCAATCCATTATTAAAAGATTCTATTTCATATTTGAATATTTCATTGGATGATCGTTTAGTTGTTGCTGGATTAAATAATCCAACTGATGAATTAGCTTACTTTATGGTATTTGATTTAACTGCTAGTTATGTGGTAAGTTTTGATTGGATTGTTCTCTTTTTTCAGTAATTAAAATAGACTAAGACTGAAGATTTTACAACTGATAACTTTCATATAAATCTGTCCATTCATCTTATAATTGGATCCAATGTCGATAGGGTAAAAATTAGTCTACTATATACTAGCTCCAATCACTTAACATCAAATTGGTAGTCCATGAGATGTTAACACACTTAGATCCACGCTCAATTGTCTGGAGGTTAAGAGTTCGCAAGCCAAACTGAAGGTTATGAGTTCGGTTTCCACCTGCAGGATTGTGTACGCGCACTACTGAAGAGTTCCATACGAGGTTGAAATGGCCGTCAAGTGCTGCCAGGTTTCTGTACTATATCCTTATTGCAATCTTTCTGTTATATATTACCACCTCTGAATGAACTACTTTTATGAATCCGATGTCCATCTTGTTGTGTTAATGAGGTATGGGAATTTGGACCGATGCATGTATGTGCCTGGTCCTACGTTGTACCTGACTGATTGACTGAGTCTCATATTGGCATACGTTCATCCTGTACGAATTCTCTCGCTGTTGGTTTAATTCACAAGCATGATAAGCAAAGATGGATGAAAAAAAATTGTTCGTTTGTTTCTTCTATAACCCGGGTTAAACATCTCAACATCACTGTTTCTATCAAATATATCAATCGTTCAGTAGGTATATTATAGTTTTTAAAAAAACCCAGTTAAATCTACACACCCATAAAGCATATCACAATATCTCAAATATCATCATCTTGTAACTACTTGAATCCAATTCCATGTAACTATGTAATCATATGTAAAATCAATAATTAACACTTTTTATTACTGAAATAATAACGGATGTATCATGATGATGGTGGTGATGATGATGATGAAGATAATGTTACCCACCATTAGGCATAATCAGAGAAAACACATCAAACTGGGGGCGGGGGGGTAGTAACATTAAGTTGATAAGGAGTAACATAGTAGAATAATAATAAACATTACCGACAATATTGATTATTATTCATGTAAATGTCAAAAAAATAGTTTCATTCTACATATTTTCATTATCGAAGAAAAAGAGGAATAGTTGAGAATTGATGTAAAACACAATGATTCATTTATATGAAATGGATAAAATAAATACCATTTTAAAAAAAAGGATAAACAAAAATCAAAAGTAAAGATGAGGATAGTGATTAACATTGGAATCTAGGAGGCGTGTTTCGTCCTATTTTTTTATTGGACTCGTCAGTTGGATGTACCTGTATCTTGGAAACTTTTATTCATTAAATTATATTGTATTAAATTGATGTGAATGATTTTGGTTATTGTAAAAGTGTTAAACATTAACCTAATCACACTTTGATGGAGAAACTATGGATGATGTGAAATCTTTCATATACCTGAACAGCAACATCATTGATAAACAAGGAGGATCAGATGTAGACGTAAAGGTGAGGATCGGCAAAGCAAGCACAGCATTCTTAACATTGAAGAACATATGGAATTCAAAACAACTGTCATCTAACATCAAAGTCACAACCTTTAATACAAACATCAAGATAGTTCCAATGAATAGAGCTGAAATGTGGAGGACTACTACAACCATCATCAAAATTGTACAAGTATTTATAAACAGTTGTCTACGCAAGATATTCAAAATCCGTTGGCTGAATAGCATCAGCAACAACCTACTATGAGAAAGAACAAATCAGATTCCAACTGAAGAGGAAATTAGGAAAAGATGTTGTAAGTCGATAGGACGTACATTACGGAAATCACTAAATTGCCTCACGAGGAAAGTGCTAACTTGGAATCGTGAAAGGAAGTAGAAAAGAGGAAGGTAAAAGGACATAATACATCGGAAATGGAAGCAGATATGAAAAGGATGAATAACAACTGGAAGCAACCAGAAAGGTTTGCCCAGTACACAGTTGAATGGAGGGTGTTTATGGACAGCCTATGCTCCTCCTCGAAGGGGTAACAGGTGTAAGTTAGTAAGCAAGAGTGTCAAAACGTTTCGGGTTAGTGGTTGATCAAATGATGATATAGTTCGACAAAAAAAATATACTTGATTCGTTTTAACTACTTATCATCATTTATGGAGCAGGCGAGATATTTATTTGTCTAATAATTGGTTACTTCGGATTATAAAAGCAGTAGGATAAAAAACGCATACAACAAGTCATAGTAGCAGTAGTTACGCCTGTTACTCCTCGTGAAGGAGCATAAGCCGCGTACCAGCATTCTCCATCCGACCCTGTCCTGGGCAATCCTTTCCAGCTCCTTCCAGTCATTATCCATTCTTTTCATATCTGCTTTGATTTCCCGACGTCATGTGTTCTTTGACCTTCCATGTTTTCGCTTCCCTTCAGGATTCCAAGTTAGGGCTTGTCTCGTGATGCAGTTTGACGATTTGCGTGATGTATGTCCTATCCATTTCCATCGTCTATCCCTAATTTCTTCTTCAGCTGGAAGCTGGTTTGTTCTCTCCCTGATAGTATCCGGCCAATCCATGTTGAGTATCTTGCGAAGACAGCTATTTATAAATACTTGTACCTTCTTGATGGTGGAATAAGTCATGCGAAGATAATATTTGTTCATCAATTATATTTCTCTGGAGTATTTAATTAGTGATTACAATAATCACACATTTCCCATCTACATTATCTATACTGTTCTGAGATAACTTAGAATAATAATCAATGAGCTTAAATTATTATTGACATATGTTTGTTTAATATCAGAAGAAGTTCATTTGAGTTTGTTGTGAGATAGTAACTCACTGAAGACAATGGTGAATGTGTCGCTTAATTTCGTGAATTAGTTAAAGTTAGACATTAACACTATTGAATGCTGGTTAGCTCAGTGGTCTAGAGATTAAGAGCTCGTACGTTGGGACTATTAAACTTGGATCCTGGGTTTTTCATAGTCGTCTAACTTCAATTGACTCATGATCTCAACTAGTAAAAATATATTTGTTTGATTACACCTAGTTTTCTTCCAATGTACTGCTATTCTAACCAGTTCAGTGTACTTTTCTTCATTCAAAATAACAAAAAATGTAAAACATGTCATTATATGTAAGGGTTTTAGTTATATGGTTGTTAGTTCTATGGGAAACTGAATTTTTGATTAGTTTTTCTTAGAATATGTGTATTATGTGATTTTTATATGATAAGTTGATCATAAAAGAAAAAAGGATTATGGATAGCAGCGGAATCTAGGAGGCATATTTCGTTCTGTCTAGAAACCGATAACTACCTTTTATTCTAAGTTGATTGAATTTACTTACTTAGGCCTGTTACCCCCCAATGGAGCATAAGCCACCGATCAGCATTCACCAACCCACTCTTTTCTGGGCCTTCCTTTCTAGTTCTATCCAAATGTTGTTCATTCTTCTCATATCTGTCTCCATTTCTTGGAGTTATGTGTATTTTGGTCTTCCTGTCCTTCTTTGGCCTTGAGGGTTTGCCTTGTGAGAATCTAGAAACAATCATGCAGAAGCAGAACTCTTATTTGTATGTATGTGTGTGCACCTCATATATACATCTGGTAATATTTTGATCAACTCTCAGTTATATGTTATGACCCGCAGGAAGATAGAACACAATTGTATCTGAACTGAAACTGTATACGTCAACACTGTTGAAACATATCTAGCGGTTGCATAACTAATTTTTTCTTCCTTTTTACTGCGATACTGAATATTTTGATTGTTTGATAAATAAAACATTTTGACAACACTATCCTAAACCGATGACCTACAGGGATTCTGGTAGTGAAATTGTGAAAGACCAAAATACAAAAGAACATCAAGATCAGGGAGGTTTGAGAGCATGGATACGATCAATCAATCTGAAAACCAGACTCTGTATCTCTTTAGTACTGACCAAAACATGGCACAAATTCATGAATTCAATGACAAGTGGAATAAGGCATGTTGGTGGGTGTAAACTAACTGGTTGGGGTCCGTGAGACGATAGAAACCAATGGTTAAAGGCCTTGAATACAACATGGCTCAAAATCGTTTGGAATTGCGCAGGTGCATCCACTCTTTGTGTTCTCTCGAATTCTAATCTTCTGAATTCTTCATGTCCCTTTTTTCACTGGATTATACTTCTTGAATAACATCTTCAAACCCTAATGAATCGACAATGGTATCTCTGTGTTAATATAGTATGACAACTTGAACTGATGTACGTACGTAGGAGGTTCGACGTTGTTACTGACTGACTGATACTATTTATTTGTAAAATCACGAGTTATATCTGCTAGACCTGCAGTGGTCGTACTTTGCGTTCTGATAATTCATTCAATCATTAAAACCAGTGTCTTTTTTAATTGAAAGATATAACTCAGCAAAGAGTGTACCATATCTTATAGATTTCTTTGAACATCACGTTCTGCAGTGTAATATATATATATATCATCCTTCGATTCTGCAGTCTCTATATATGTAATTTTCCGACTATTCTTACTTACTTACGCCTGTTACTTCCAATGGAGCATGGGCCGCCGACCAGCATTCTCCAACCCACTCTGTCCTTGGCCTTCTATTCTAATTCCATCCAATTCTTGTTCATTTTTCTCATGTCTATCTCCATTTCCCGTCGTAATCACTATAATCACATGACAAATAAACTGTATCTTAGACAACCGATCTTCTATAGGTTTTGTACTGTTGAATCATATTCTAAATCAAGTGAACTGCCAAATATCATTCTCATTATCTATGCAACGAATAGGTTATCTATAATTATGTTTGTGAATAACCGTACTAAAACCTAAGAACTTTAACTTCATTCTAACTGATTTATTGATAGTCATCAGTATAGCATAGTCTTATCGAATTCTATTGAAACCACATTGAAAGAATCCAGAATAATAAAAAAGAGGGTGAGACTATAATTTATGGACGACCTTTGAGTGATGCTGAAGTGACTTACAGAGTGTACTCATCTAATAACTAGGATCTAATGAAGGTTATGAAACATTGTGGAGGATTAGAATTATGATGACTAAAATAAGAAATTAGATTTGAGAGGTTTTTCAAACACGAATTGACATCCGCTATAATGCCAGAACTCAAATTATCCAAATAGATGAGTGAATTCACAAGCGATTGATCACTGGGTGGTGATCAATGTGTGTCAAGTTCTTACTAGTTCAGATCGAATGCTATCGACCATGATGCAATGTGACCAATAGCCTAGGTGATTCGACACTGCATGCACTATTGTGAGATTAGATGGTGATTGGAGGTAATCGACAGGAAACCCTGAACCCGGGTTTCATGCTACTTGGCCCTCGTCAGCAAGGTGTACCTGTAATCTTAAGGAAACTGGTTCTCCCTGACAGATTGAATTTCATGCCAAACTCCGAAACCTATTATCTTATCGAATCGAGAGGAATCCATAAAGAAACCCCAGTATATTTCATTATCAATCATACAATTACATTGATATAATTACAAAAAATTACTTATATTACTTACTATTTATAATATTTAAATGGAAAACAACTTGCCTTATGTGTGTATGCTTATCATCATATATGTACTTGGATATGTAAGTGTATGTATGTATATGTGTGTATGTATCAACTATTTCCATTTGATTTATTTTTGTCTCCGATACAACTAACTTCATATTGACTGATTGATTGGATACACTGATGAAGGCTACTACTACTACTATTACTACTGTTACATAATTTGTTAAGTCATGTGATGATGTACACAATATTACGGCTATTTTGATTGGTTGCTATGACAATTTTGTGCGTACAACTTTGATTGGTTAGTGGTTTGTTTTGTTATTTGTAGCAAGATTATTTTCTATGGGATGGGGTGGTTGACTCCCACACCCAACACCTACCTCTTTTACCCGAAATTAGAATCGGACAGTAGGCCCTAAGAAGAGCTACAGACGGGTATTTATACACTTACTTACATATATGTATGTCTGTTTATAGAAATATAATCAATCTGAGAATTAACCTAATTTCTGGACATTAAAGATAAATTCTTTTTACCAAATTGACTGATGTTCGATCAATTATATACCCATGATGTGCTGAACAAAAATGGATCTTTCTCATCTATGGCCTATAAATAGATAGATGTACACAATTTTTAAAAGGGAAATGACTCTTCTATTTGTTTGTAACAAAAATAAGAAACATTAATTTATTATTATTAAAGTGATCAAATGTCTGATTCTTTAATTGATGTCTTATAATCAGATTTCTTCTAATGTACTATAAATTGCCTATCATTTATGATTTATAATATTTATGGTGGTATTCACAATTGAATCCGCCAGGGAGCACCAGTTCCTTCAAGATTACAGGTACACCTTGCTGACGAGTGTCAAGTAGTACGAAACCCGGTTCTAGGGTTTCCTGTTGACTATCTCCAACCACCATCTAAATTATGGTGGCATTAATAGAATTCAAGAGTGAAACAGTTTAATCTAATTTAGATCTTTAAGACATAGATTTGCTGAATCATTTCACCTATTGACAAGTACAAATCTAGATCAGTATACTAAGATGTAGAGATGAAGATGATGAAGAGATGATTTATTAATGTGGAGTGATGAAGATTAAATTTTGAAAACTTGGAAGCATTGGACAGCTGTTTCGTTTCATTGTGGGACTCCTCAGTAATAATGATGTTCACCCCCAAACTTGAACACCAGATGACAAGTCTCAAATAAGACGAAACGATACGTGTCCTGTAATTCACTATTAACAATCATTCGTCTTTACTTATATTGTTAATTCAGTTTTAATTCTCCTATTTTGTTTACTACGTTCTAAAAGGGTATACATCAACCGAAATTTATCACATTTAATGCTAAAGCTGAAGCTACCGAAATCATTGGAAATGATGAAGCTGTGACAGGTTAGTTTCTCTCTAATCGTTATGGAATGATTTTTATTGAATGATTTTATTATTTCATAGCTTAATCACATCGTGTAGATAATAAGATTTGAAAGCTGTAAGAGTGTATCTCTTTGATCTTTTTGGGAATGTCAAGCAATAATTGCAGGGATCGTAGATTTAGTCGTATAATGATCGACGTCTACAAACGATTGATCCCTCAGTAGTAACCAGTCGGTTTTAAGCGTCTCAGTTCAACAGGTGGTTATTCTCAGTTTGAAAAGTTAAATGATCACATTTAAGGATGTAAACAAGGTGATACTCATTCGATTCTCACAGGGGACATTGGTCCCTTAGAGATTTCCCGGTAAGTTTTTTCTGACAACTCCAAACTCATAGACTGCTTCTATTCATTTAACATCAGTTATATGATAAAGCCAGAGTACAATCGAGTAATTTGATACATAATGAACTACTTATTTATTTGTTTAAACGGGTAAATATTGGTACCAAAAACAACGAATGCATATGCGCCACACAAGTCAATTGATTTGTGTGTGGGCTGTGATACTGTTTGGGCGCCCAGATCAAAGCAAGTGGTTTTCTTAAAGGGTCGCACCCGGAGCCTTCGACCTAAAGGACTAATTCATAAGGCAGTGATGCAACATAGGGAGATAAAGTTTCATGGCAGCCGGTGATAATAGATTCATAAACCATTTGTTCCCTTAGGATATTGGAGCCCATGTTGACCATTAATTTTGAATGAGGGTTTTCCAACTCCCATAGGTGGATCCTCCTTATCCACGAATTCGGTTCAATCACACCCTTCTCGAGGAGGTAGTGAGTAGGAATTCCCTGACAGTAGTTGTGTGCACGTAGCTATATGAGAACATTCTCGAATGTACCAGGAGATTTGGGGACTATGATGTACTCCAGTCATGCCACATTGAAAATAAACGTGATGCATAGTTACATCATTCTGTTATCATCATAATTTTTGTTCATTGATATTGGCATTCGTAAACATTCTTTTAACGGTCTTCTTAATCTTCAAACGGTACAATAATCTTTGTGAATTTTCTTAAATGAATTCTTTCCCTTTTTCTTAAATAAATGACATAGTTGTTCATTTTATCACTAAGACAAGGATGAACTTAGAAACAACCGTAAAGACTTTTCAGTCAGTTTTCAGCTCATTAAGAAACGGAGAAAAACAATACTATTTGAATGTGTAACCAGATGTTACATAATTAATATGTTTTCTACTGACTACTTTACTTGGAAACTCTTCTACATGGATGTAGGTTATCCATCTACTTTATATCATAAAAGAACTCAAATAGATTTTTAGGAGCTTCGGTACTTACTTACTTACGCCTGTTACTACTAATGGAGCATAGACCGCCGACCAGCATTCTCCAACCCACTCTGTCCTGGGCCTTCTTTTCTAGTTTCATCCAATTCTCGTTCATTTTTTTCATGCCTATCTCTATTTCGTGGCATAATGTGTTCTTTAGTCTTCATCTTTTCATTTGCCCTTTGACGAATCCATGTGAGGACTTGCATTGTGACGCAGTTGGGTGCTTTCCTCAATGTGTGTCCTATCCACTTCTAGCGCTTCTTCCTGATTTCTTCCTTCACTGAGATCTGGTTTGTTCTTTCCCACAGTAGGTTGTTGCTAATAATGTTCGGCCAACAGATCCGAAGTATTTTGCGTAGACAACTGTTAATAAACACTTGTACCTTCTGGATGATGGCTTTCGTAGTTCTCCAAGTTTCCGCCTCATACAGTAGAATTGTCTTGACATTTGTATTGAAAATTCTGACTTTGGTGTTGGTTAACTGTTGTTTTTAGCTCCGGATGTTCTTCAGTTGTAAATATTTAAGCTTTGGTATTTAAGATGTAAGTTTTCATCACAAACTGACATCACCTATAATGAAAAATTGATTACTCCATATCTATATGTATCTATGATTAGTGCACTATAATGCCAAAGGGTAGTACCAGAATATAAGTAGATATGGATGGTGGAATCCATGATATGTGTTTTGCCCTATTGGTGACTCATTATTTGAATGCATCTACATGCCAAATTTGATTTTCAGTCTTAGAATAGAACCCAGTACTATGCATTTCAAACACCATCGCGTTATTCAGGTAGCAACTGAGTCTAGATAACATACTGACTTGTGGAATGAAGAGAGTTTTAATTCATACATATACATTTGATTGCTTAGATCTTCACATGGATGTTTAAGATTACAATAGATTGGTCTATGTCAGCTTTTTTTGTTCAGTTTTAATATACTTTTATGATTGTTTTCATACAACTTATTTAAGGTACACGTCGAGGTGAATTATTTGTATGGAATTTATTAACTGGACGAGTTATGCGTCAAATACAAATTAGTGCAACATTAGAAGGTGGTAATTTAACTATGTTACCACCACATAATGAAACAATCCATTGTGTTAAATTATCTACAGATGGACATTATTTAGTAACTGGATCACAAGATCAAACAGCTAGAATATGGACAATGCCAGATGAACGTTTATTGCATACATTAGAAGGACATGCTGATGATGTAAGCTATTAAAACATTCTATTCATGATTAGTTGAGATTATTTTATTTCTTCTTCTTCTGAATTATGATTAGCAATGTAGTCAAGAATGAAAGTTCTTTCCTTAGGGCGTTTAAAGCGAACGGTACTGGGTTCGAGTCCTAAAGGGAACATCAACTGTGAGATGTAGGTACATCTAGCTGATGAGTCCAAAATAGGACGAAACGTGCATCAAACTGGATTCCACTGCTAGCCACTATCCATCTTTGCTTATAAAAGCTTGTGAATTAAGGCAATATCGAGGCAATATGCAAAGGATACACATATGCCTATAAGAGATTGATCAATTGCAGTCTTAAATCTGTAAGAGTGAATGACTAGATTATAATTTATAAACAAACCAATCAAATTGAAGATAACAGATCTTGAAGTTTGGCACAAAATTTATTCATTCATTTGGCTTCATATCATTTTGGCATTACAGCTAATATCAGTTCATGATGAAAACATTCAATCTAATTCTTAACCCTGATATTTCACTGTAATTCATAATGTTTATTCCTCACCCTAGTAGGTAGGTGAACATTTCAAGATCACTTAAGCTTTTGCTTAAAGATCATCCATAAATTATGGGTCCCATCGTGTTTAATTATTAAGCTTACATAAAGTGGTTTGTGAATGAATCGCTTTTTTTTCTTGTGAGTACGTTAACATCATCATCCTTTCATAGAAGTTGATACGTATATGTTCCATCACTAAACCGGTAATTTTAACCATGACATGACCTTGAAAACGCATCTTCATATCTGATTGGTTTGTTAATATACATTGAACTTATTCTATTATTCAGTAAACTAGTAAGTAAGTTTAGTTCACAAATTTCTTATTGATAAATATGATATTCGAGAATATTCTCAAATGTGTCACTTGGATGTTCAAACACAAACGCAGATGATTCACGGGAATTTTAGTTTGTTGTATCATTTAAAATTAATTTCAAATTAAAGTTTTCAAGGATTTAGTTAGTTTGTGTAAACTCAATTGTTTACAGGTTAATATTCGTTTTCATTTAAGGACCAACACATTCAAAGATATTCCATTTCAAGTATAGGGGTTATGGAGGTTATTAAGTTTTTGATTAAGATCATGAATTGATTGATATTAAACCAAAATTGAAATTCTGGAAGTACTGGGCGACCGTTTCGTCCTATTGTGAGAACCTTAAGTGGTAGTGTACATCCACGACCCCGCTCGCAGGATTCCAAGCCGGAGCCTTTGGTCTTGTAGGGTTTGCTGGAGTGATCCAGCGAATTTCGTGCAAAAGACAAGCAAAGATCAGGAAACACTAACAAGCGTTTCATCCAATCAGCGTTCACTTGAAATTTTAACCAAAAATATGAAGGAAGTGAAATGTCACATGCAGAGGTTCTTATTAGCTGATCACTACACTACTACTATGTTTAGTAGCATTCTAGAATCTTCTAGCAACCCAAGGACATTTAAACTATTATAAAAACGCTGTATTTTATGTATTGAAATGCACTGTGGAGTAAACTACTACCCGCATACTTTGCGTCTTCTCTCTCGTGTTCAGGTTGCTTTATAGTTCTAGCTTGGGGTTAACAGAATAGCTTAGGAGACGAATATAGCGTTCAATTTGCAAGACTTATCAAGGTTATATTACAACACATTGATTGGTGATGTAATCTGTATTAAACTTAAGATAATAACTGATAGATAGATATGAAGTAATACATGTAAGAGTTTTAGCTTACTATTCATAATTTGTTCTCTTTTTTTTTTAAATTTCAGGTACTTAGTGTAGCTATTTCATTAGATTCAGAAGTTGTTGTTACTGGTAGTTGGGATGGTTCAATACGTGTATGGCGTGTACGTGATGGTAATCAAATGTGTTGGTTTACATCAAATATTGAAATATTACAAGTCAAAATAAGTAATGATAAACGTGCATTAGTTGCATTAGGTGAAAGAAGTGGACATCGTAAATTAATTATGTTACAAGTATTACGTAATCGTACAAGAACAACAACTAATTTACGTACAGCTGGTTCACGTATTAATTCATCATTATCACCGCCAACACCAGGTTATTCACCATCATCTCCTGTGATTATGGCATAGAAATAAATAAGAATAAGAAAAAAAAGAAAAAGAAACAAAGAGAAGAAAATGATTTTCTACTAATTATTATTATTATCATATTTATCCAGTATTAATCTCAATGGAATCGTTTCATCCATATTCTTCTTCTTCTTCTTTATTTTTTCCATTGTCAACATCAATGCTTACACTATTACATCATCATCATCATCATGATGATCGATCTCAATTCATTTAGGAGTTATGAAATTATTCTAATAACATTGTTTTTGCTAGAAATATACATGTCAATACTACTTATATTCTTATTCTTACTATTATTATGAGTATTATTAGTAGTATTTATGATGTTCAATAATACCGAGGTTGATAAACAAACAAGACAATGTCACTTTATTTTCTTTAGATCATATCTATCTATCTATCAATCTATCTATATTATCTATTCAACTCCAACAGACACTAAGAATAGTTATAATGAAATTACATATACATTTCTTTGTTATTATTATTGTTGTTGTTGTAAAACAATCGCTTTCAATATTCAATAATCAATTGAACCATTTATTTATTCAATCAATCAATAGATCGATCGATCAATCAATCAATCAATAATCACTATGTTATTTCGATCAAATACGGACATCAAATTGATCGAAATGATTTTTAAAAAAAATCGTTTTGCTTTCACATTGTGTCTTATTTTTTTTTGTTTGTTTGTTGCTAAGACAGGATTTTCTACCCAACAACGTCTATTATTCTTTAAAAAAAATAATCGTTCAATGTCTACCAATATACATATGAATACATAAAGTGCATTTAATAAAACATTATTTTATTCAGTGCTAATTTCCTTCTAAACAGAACTCTACTCCACTCCGCTCCACTACACCCCATCCCCCACACATATACATACACACATACGTGCACGCATACAGTTTAGTTGATTTATTTTTTTTCTCTTTTAAGTTTCGTCTTTATTTTCTTCGTCTTCTTCTTCTTCCTCTTCAGTTTTATATCTTTTTTACATCATGAGAATAAATAATGGGAATTTTTATTTAGGGACAAAAAAAAACCCCCCAGGTTGTATTCAATATTCACTTGAATTATTTTCTTAACTTAGTTGCTAAGTGGTAAAAATAAACAACAAATTAATTATTCTTTCATATACAGATATTTACATTTGTATATGAGAATAATATCTAGTTGTTGATTGATCATTATGTATGTTCTTCTAATATCAAAGATTCTTTCTTTTTTTTGGATGATGATGATTGGAATATGATTGATAGTTTATTGATTTGTTTATTGATAATCATTGTGTTTTCATACTAAATTGATTGATATAATCTTATGTTTGAAATAGAAAGGTTAAAATGCCATAATCTCTATGATGTGTGTAATTCTTATCCTTTAAAATGGGCTTAGTAACAACTATTCTCTTATATATAGGTTTTATATACATTCTAATACATACATATATACATACATACATATATATATATATATATAATGCGGTCTATTTTTAGAAGTTTACCCAAACGTTTCTTATTCCAATTAGAGAAGAAAAAATAAATAAATAAACAGAATTAGTAACTATGCTGAGGATACTGTTTTGTGATTGGTTAATTAATTATATCAGGTTTTCTATTCTCCATATTATACATTAATTAAGTAACCAAACTATTTTTGGCTGAAGTTTTTCTTTTTCTTTCACTGAACTCTTTCAACTATTACACATGAATATTTACATATGACATAATAAGTAGAAAACAAAAAAGAAGAAGAAGCAGAAGAGAATGGTGAAACATTCTCTTTATTTTATTTGTCAATATGATTGTTTTATTGATTATGTTTTTCTCTCTTTTATTCTTTTCTTTGTTCTCTTTTCTTTTCTTTTTCTCATTGATATTAAATCTTTTATTCACATATATATATAGTTTATTGTTTATGAAACTATTCTATGAAAATGAGTTTTATTCATTTATGACATAATTCATATGCTTGATTGTGTTGAATTCATTCGATGAATTCATTTTGCCTAGATATTGCTTATCTATTTATCTATCTATCTATCTATAATCCTGTATACAAGATATGTCATATATGGATAGGATTATTTATATACTGACTATTTTCATCTACTGAACTACCTAATTCTTTGACTATTGAAGGAATGTTGTTTTTTTCTTTTATTCACCAATCAGAATGTTGCTTTTATGGAAGATGTTGATGATATTGAATTGATGAAAATAATAAACAATGAATATATTTAATTAGCTAGTTATATTATGTAATAATAATTATGATTATTATTATTATTATTGTTACTATGTGCCTTCTTAGCCAGTTTTTTTTCTTTTTATGGTTTTCTTTTCATAATGTATCATGTATATTTTTTTCTTTAAATCAATCAATCAATAAATCGATTTATTTGAACTCTGATAAAAAGTTTAAAAAGAAAAGAAACTTTACAGATCAGCAATTCTTACAGGTTATATTAACTTACCCCCCGCCCTCCGCCCCCCCCCCAAAAATGAAACCGTAATCTGTAAAAGAAGAAGAAAACGAGAAAAACTTTTCTGATTATCATAAACACATTTATACAAGTTGATTGTTTATCTATTTACATATGCATGTATTCTATTCTATTATATATATGATAAAAGAAATTCTCAATAATGATTAACATGTTGAACAGAGAAAACAGTTTGCCTTCTTCAGATAGTCGGCTGTTTTTCTTTTTCTTCTTCTTCTGATGATGATGATGACGATGATGAAGATGATATAGTCCTATAACGATTATTGACTATTATTGATCTTTTAATGTTATTATTATTACTATATTATCATGTTTCTTGTAAAAGACAACTTTGCTTATATTATCATTGTTCTTTCTAAAGTTATGGGTTACTTAATTATTTACACTTGTTACACTTCGTGGAAGAGTATAGGTCAACTACCAGCATTATTTATCCGATTCTGTCCTTGACAATCCTTTCCAGTTGTTATTAATCATTTTCGTGTCTGTTTCTAATTCTAGATGTAGTGTGTTCTTCAGCCTTCCTCCTTGTCGTTTCTCTCCAAGATTTCTAGTTAGCGTTTGCTTTGTGATTCAGTTTGATGATTTCCTCAGTATGTATTTCAACCAACTCCAACGCCTTTTCTTGATTTCCTTTTCAACTGGCAGCTGATTTGTTCTCTCCAAGAGTAGGCTGTTGTTGATAGTATCCGGTTAACGGACATTCAGTATCTTTCCTCAACAATCCTTTTCAGTTCTTTCCGGTTCCCATCGATCTTTTTCATGTCTGTTTCCAATTACAGGTGCATTGTATTCATTAGTCTTCCACTTTACCTTTTCCCTTCAAGATTCCAAGCAAGCGTTTGCTTCGTGATGCAATTTTTTTCAGTTGAAAGTTGATTTGTTCTCTTCCACAGCAGGTTGTTGCAGATGGTATCAAATTTGTGAACATTTAGGTAATATTCATCAAGAAATAATTATCAGCTACAGAAAGTGTATTAGACTGACTAATTTATAATTGGATACTGACTGAGCCCATAATTGTTTAACTGCGGTGATCGGACAAGAAAGTCCTACTCACTGCCTTCTCGTAAAGGAGGTGTTGCTTACGAAATCTAGAGGATGAAATGCGAATGTCCAGAGCTTTATTCAAATTGGATCATACCTTGAGGTCAAAGGCCCCAAGTGTGGACCCCTAAGAAAACCACCTGGTTCGGTCTGCGCACCCGGGCAGTATTACAGCCCACACACAAATCAAGTGATTTGTGTGACGCATATGTATTGGGTGCCACTTTATACCGATATAAAAATCAGAATACACTAGACAGTTATTTCATCATAATATCAAGCTTCTCGGAATCCCCAATGAGATTGAAATTAAAACTAACATTAACAATATCAGAACTATAAGGAACAACTTTTGCAAACATACATTTAATTGGGAAATTTCACTTCATATCACCGGTTAATGTTTGAATAAAGAATATAAATAAGCTACGAAAGATTTATATGCAAAGATGGATAGTGGCTAGAGGTGGAATCCGATTTGATGCACGTTTCGTCTTATTTGGGACTCATCAGATGGATGCACGTGCATCTCAGAGTTGATGTTTGCCCTGAGACTCAAACACAGTACCGTTCGCTATCAAGACTCAGTAGCTAAGTGGATAACGTGATGGCATTTAAAGTGAGCGGTACTGGGTCCGGGTCCCAAAGTGAACATTAACTCAGAGATGCAAGTACATCCAGCTGATGAGTCCAAAATAGGACGAAACGTGCATCAAACTGGATTCCACTGCTAGCCACTATCCATCTCTGCTTATAAAAGCTTGTGAATTAGGGCAATATCGAAGCAATATGCACACATGCCAATAAGAGACTGATCAATTGCAGTCTTAATCCTGAATGGGAAGATACAAACCAAACAATACCAAGTGAATATTAAAGCTTTACTGACTCTAAATGATAATGATTACTGAATCTTTAGTGACCTTTTATTTCTGTTTCCAATAACTCAAAATGTAATTGAACACAAAGTAGTGCCTAGTGATTTTCAAAAGTGTTATTTACAATTGAATAATCATTGGGTGGTAATGAATGTCATGTATGTCAGGTCCTTCTTAGTGCAAACCGAATCTTATCGACAGATTTGCAATGTTTTCACGAGTCAAGATGACTTGACAAGAAGTTAAACGTGGTCTAGATAGCTCAGTAGTAACGTCTCTAACTGCAAAACTAGCTGGAGCGGTATCGAGTCCGTCAAGAAGCATCAATTGCCTCCAGATTACAGGTGACACCTTGCTGACGAGTGCCAAGTAGCATAAAACCTGGGTCTAGGGTAAGTAAGTCAGTCAATAAATTAGAATTTTGTTATGTGTCAAATATATAAATGTTACGAAAATAAGCAAGGAAACAACACAAACATAATCTAATCAATTTGTTGTCTGTATTGATTCAATTAGCAACATGATCAATTTCTATATTGATATTCATGTCACAGAAATGAATTTTAAAAAAAGAGAAAAAAAACACTAGTCGGCAACAAAACAAAGAGGAGTGTGGGAGTGAGTGAGTGATTCAGTCAGATAGCAACTAATAGAATTGAATTCATTATTCTCATTAATGGATATAAATAAACAAAATATGGAGAGAGAGAGGGGGGAACCTTCTTTTTTTAAAAGAGAGAGAATTTAAATCATGTTAATCATTGCAATCATTTAGAACAAATGGTGATTATCATTATTATTCATAATGTGTGTGTGTGTATATTGTTTATTGGTGAAATAGATCAAACATGTCAGATCTTAGATCTTTCTTCATTTTGTGCTATTTACCTTTATTTTTTTTTGACACCAACACTACATGTTTGACGAGTGTATTTATATATATATTGAACAGATTGTACATTGAATAATATTTAAATTATAATTCAATTAATCAATCAACCAATTACTCAATCAATCAATCAATATTGGAAATCAATAAACATCATAACATTTATTGATTGATTTAAATATCAAATCTAAAAATGGATTTATGATGTTGATTTTGTTTACTCTTTTTTTATAAAAGGAGTTTTGTTGTTGTTGTTTCTTTTATTTATTTATTTATTTTAATCGATCGATATAAAATCAATATCTGACATTTTAATCAATAATTTATTATTCATTAATGAATCAATTAAATAAAGTTATAAGAAGTGAATGAATCAAAACAGGATTTAAGTAATCAGATAGATAGATAGATGTATGAATAGATAGATACAATGAAAAGAGTATTTGTTAGGACCCGATAAACATTACTTACTTACTTACACCTGTTACTCCTAATGAAGCATAGGCCGCCGACCAGTATTCTTCGATCCACTCTGTCCTAGGCCTTCCTTTCTAGTACCATCCAATTCTTGTTCATTCCTCTCATGTCTATTTGCATTTCTCGACGTAATGTGTTCTTTGATCTTCCTCTTCTTCTCCTTTGCCCTTGAGGATTCCATGTGAGAGATTATCTTGTGATGCAGTTGGGCGCTTTCCTCATTGTGTGTTCTATCCACTTCCAGCGATTCTTCCTAATTTCCTCCTCCGCTGGGATCTGGTTTGTTCTTTCCCACAGTTGGTTGTTGCTAATAGTGTCCGGCCAACGGATTCGAAGTATTTTGCGTAGACAACTGTTAATAAACACTTGTATTTTCTGAATGGTGGCTTTCGTAGTTCTAAAGGTTTCCTCCATATACAGTAGAACTGTCTTGACACTTGTATTGAAAATCCTGACCTCGGAGTTGGTTGACAGTTGTTTTGAGTTTCAGATGTTCTTCAATTGTAAATATGTTGCTCTTGCTTTTCCGATCCACGCTTTCACATCTGCATCAGACCCACCATGTTCAAACCCGAGAAACATAATAAATGGTGACTTTAGAGATCCATTAATGGATCAATAATATGCATATATTTTTATCGTTAAATAACTAAACTATTCATATTCCTCTTATTATAAACTTTACTTTGACCTATGAACTATTATTATGCCATTTACCATTCTTCAATTATACCCTGTCTATTAATTAGTATCTCCCTCATTCACATCCACATTTGGCCAAATCTTGTAGAAATGTTGTTTCCTATTTTGTTGGTACGATGTGGTCTGTCTGGTTGGTATATAAACCCCCGACTTAACTGGCTGGGCTAGGCGGAAAGCAGGACCAGTCAGGACTCTGTGCTGCTCGCTTGTGTTTTACGCGTCTTTGGTCCGATCGATAATTCGCTGCTTCTGATTGGCGACTTCGGGCTATCACAGTATTAATCATTTGATTGATGTTATGAATGTCAAGTAATTATTCAATAAGAAGATTGTTTGAAATTAGGGTACACTGAAAAATTGATTCAACCTTAACCAGATTGGTAAATATGAAAGATTCACTTAGGGGAGTTAGAAAACCATGATTCTAAACTATAATGGTACATATGAGCTATCAGTATTTTTAGGGAACAAATGGTGTATGAATCAATCGTTGGTCACCGACTACCATGGTATTGCATCTTTTTACGTTGCCCACTGTCTTGTGAATTAGGCCTGTTGGTCAAATGCTCGAGGTGTGACACCTTGAGAAAACCACCTGCTTCGGTTTGAGCACCCGAGTAGTATCTTGACCCTTACACAAATCGAATAATTAATGTGGTGCATAACTATTTAATGCCTCCTTGTACCAAGATTGATGTCTTCAAATAAATAAATTTACATATATACACACAAACAGAGACTTATGTGAGCAATAAATTCATGATGTAACTTTGACCACTTCTATCATATTTGCTTTAATAGAATTACGATCAGCGATTTCCATCCAATGTTACATATAAATTATGAACTGATCTAATTTAGTAAACTATTAAAAACTAAAAAACGCTAGATATTCGTTTCGTATTTTCTTTTTGTATGAAATTCTTCAGTAGCAGTATGTATCCGTGAATTCGTACGTGGAAATCGGATGCAAAACCGTCGGTTTAATGGACGACCGCTTAACTTTCATCTAATATAGTCGAAGAAACTAAAATAAATTGATTGTTAAATGCTATCCAATTTTCTTTTTAAGCATTTGTCTAACCTATGTAATTACATAATCGAAAATTCTCTATCTTAGATACTGGTATATAAGTAAGAGCAGTGAGATGTTCTTAACAGTTCAATGGTGAATTATTATAGAATCTCCCAAGGCAAGATCGTGAATTCGCGCTGCCACTAAGGAGTCCGGTACTAGGATGAAACGGCCATCTAGTTTTTCCAGGTTTTCCATGGTGGTCTGTCTTCAATTGACTCATGAATTCAACTATTGATCTATTTGTAAGCTTTCGTTTCCTTTAATAATTG